AAAAACTAAAAGGCTTGGCTCTACTCTCCTCCTTGATAAAATTTTTACTAATCAAATAGAAAGATTTTTACTTCTCTTCATTTTTTCTATTCCCTCTAACTAAATATACTAGTAGTAATTTAAGAACAAGAAAACAAGAATCCCTTGACTCTAAAAATTCCTCATTCTATCATGAAAATGAAATTAAATTTAATTGTGGAAATTGTTATCACTTTCATGTCATTATCTATTGTTTATGATGGTGTCACATTTCTGGAATAAAGACGGATAAGATCCGATGGCTTCCGAAACAAAATTTTTCTATATAATTTCTTTAGCCAAAAAGAAGACCTCCTTCTTTTTCAAGTCTCCATCAAAAAATAACTAGCAGTCTAATATGAAAAGAATCTTATATTTTATAATTTAATATAATTTAAATTATAAAATAAAATAATTTTTTATCCCAAAATTTGGATAATTTATTTTGTTGGAAAAATGAATAATAGATTGGTTGAGTGTGCCCTGTTTATGAATAATTTTTTTAAAAAAAAATTAATTTACCATTTGGTCAAATAAAGGCTGACTCTTAGGTAACTTTACTTTAAAGAGTAATTGCTTAAGAATTCTTGAAGAAATTTGGTTAAATCTCCATTTTAGTCCCTTTATTTTGATAAAAAAAAAATCTCTTTTTAGTCCTTAAAATTTGAAATCCAACCCCTTTTTAGTTCATCAATTAAATTTTATATACATAATACGTTAAATAATAGAAATTTCAGAGTGATCAAAAAGAGGCTAGAAATGAGCTAAAATTTCAAAGTAGAATGACAAAGAAGAGCTAAAAATAGCCCTAATTTGGCAATCTACTTTGGAAAAAAAACTCATTTTTGGTCCTTCTTTTTTGAAATTTTTATCATCTAACATCAAAACTTAATGAAGGAACTAAAAATGGACCAAATTTCAAACTTTAGGGATCAACAAGGATTTTTTTAAGTAAAGAGACTAAAGAAAGTTTTTTTATTAAAGTAGAGGGACCAAATTGAAGTTTTTACCAAAAAATTTAATCTTGATATTCTTTTTACAAAATTAAGGCGTTCTCAGTAGTGACCTTCATTTTCATTGTTTTAAAATTTATTGAAAGAGAACTTTTAGGATTTTTCCTTTTTTATGGAAGAGAAACTATATAAATATTAAAAAGGTACAACAAGGGATATGCGTATCATAAATGATCGGCTCCAAGTTTCCTATAAAAACCAATAAGGGCTATTTTGTTGGAAGAAAGTCCAACCCCATGTGTGAACCCATGGACTTTTTGTGTGGAAGTTTGCTTCACCAACCTAGCTAGTTGTGGGTTAGGATTACTTTGTTGAAATCATGCAAGATTGCATGTTGAGCCATTTAATGGGCAAAGAAAATCTTGGCCGGGTAGTAATGAGGCAAAGAAAAATGGTGCATGGGTGGTTGGATTTTTCACTATAAATACCCATGGGTGGTTGGATTTTTCACTATAAATACCCATGCATGCAAAGGCAATGGGCAAGCAAGAGTAGGAGAAAGCAAGAGAGAAATTGAGGGAGAGCTCTTGTGAGAGAAAAGAAAGAGAGAAATTGTGAGAAATCCTTGTGTAGATTAAGAGGGAGTATTTGGGAGAATTTGGGAGCTTCTATACATTGAAACTAGGGTGTTGAGTGCTTCTTGAGTGAGAGAGTTTCTAAATTATTGTACTCTTTTTCTTAATAGTGGATTTATTTCTCTCTTTCCCGTGGATGTAGACTTGTTGAGAGGTGTATAAGTCGAATCACGTTAAATTATTGTCTCAATTTCTTTATCGCTTCCATTTGTGTGGGATTGTGGTGCTCAAAATTCCCAACATATTTCTCTATGGTTCTATAATAAAATCTCGTGAGCTATTTGAGCTAGCCTAGCCCCAAATTGCTTGGAGCCATCCATAAAGCAAAACAAAACTAAAATTAAAGAATAAAAGAGGCTCCTCCATTCAAAGAAGCTCCCCATTGGTCTCTAGTGCTCAAGTAACCAGTGTTTCTACCTTTTTTTTCATCTTTGGCTTCAATAATAGAGAGTGGATCATCCTTTCTTCCCTTATGTTTGCCCAATTCGCTACTAGCAAAGGTTTCACTGCTTAAAGTGCCCTTTCCATGAGCTAGTCGCCCAAGGATTTGTTCAATTCCTAGGCTCCCCATTCCCTTCCCTAGTTGCCTCAAAAACAAAAAGTTAGTTTTCCACACTTCCTAAAGCCAGTCACCCTTCCTAAAGCCAGTCACCCTTCCTTTTTTCTGTTTCCAATTCCATTCATCTCCTTACTAGGCTCTCCCAAAATCCTTCCTTTCTCCTCCACTCTCTACCCCACCTACCTTTCCTTCCTTAAACTCGTGCTCCTCCCTTCTTTACCAAAACCTAGTTAGTTGCCCAACTCCCATGCGCCTCTCCCAACACAACCTATAGCATTTCTCATCCACTTGTTCTCATTTGCTTGAAAGCCATAATGGTCCTCACTTGGTATATAACCTGGAGCCGTTCCCTATATTGCTTCTTAGAGACTTTTGCATTCTCCTTGTCCAGTTCCATCTTGTAATCCCAATCAAAATGGTCAAGTGATCCATAAGCATAACAAAAGTTAAAAAGATGTTCATAGCAAAAGCTCACCCAAACACTTCCACTAGCATCAAGCGACAATCTTCGACCCCTCATTAGTGGGTGCCGAACAAGCATACCCACTTGGAACCTCAGGAAGTCCACTACCTTCACCTGTATCCATTGCATACAAAGGCCCCAATGATTCTTCAATCATCTTGGCCGACTCAGTTGTCATATGGTGAGGAGGCATCCCGTAGATTTGAATCCAAAATGGAACAACATATAGGGACTCTTTTCATAGCATCTCATCCCCAACCACCTCCTTTAAGACCAGCATTTGGTTCTCAAAGTGCTAAAGACCCTCTTGCAAAACTTGAACTAGATCATTCCTATGAAAGAATTGGAACAAGAAGAGCTTATTGCCTAACACTTTCATATGCATCCCTCACACTAGTCACCAAGCCTAGCCAGCAACCTCTCTATAGCAAAAACATTAAAGTGTTTCCTAGTCAATACCGTTCCAACCACATCCCAAAAACCATACCTACCACCACTACCTTGATTCCCCTGCAAAAGATGCTAGCACTACTGTCACATCCTTTGCTTCCAAAAGGCAAAACCGATTCCCCATAGCGGCTACCAAGTTGTCCATCACATTCCTCCAATTTCTAGCCTATCTTGCGTCTCGTGGAGCCATCCTTGCCTCAAATCCTAACCACTGCCCACAAGAAAGGAAGAAAGAAAGAAAATGAAAAAAAGAAAAGATTGTGCCTCTCAATGAGAAGAGAGATGAAAAACCCTAAGCCTAGGGATACTTTTAGGAATTTTTTTAACCATGTATAAATCATTGTTCCACACACATGGGCTAAGTGGAGAAAGGATTGTGCCTCTCAATGAGAAGAGAGATGAAAAACCCCAACCCTAGGGATACTTTTAGGAATTTTATTAACCATGTATAAATTAATGTTCTGCACACATGGGCTAAGTGGTTAGTCACTTTCCCTTTAGTTAAAACACCACTCAAGTTTGATGTTCGATTCTCTAGTATCCCTTTCCCCTATCCCCCATGGCATGTAGGAATATTTGTACAAAATTGCCCTTGTTCAAAAAAGAGAAAGTATAAATCAACAATTTTATCTTTTCGTTGTCAATTTAATGATTTTTATTTATTTTTAAATTGTGACAAGAACATTGTATTTATTACTATTTTTTAGCCCATTAAATAACTCAATTAATTGGTATTGCGGGGCTATAACTTCTTGAGCGTGAGGTTAAATCAAGAATTTTAAATTATTAAGTATTAATTTGGTTGAACTTATATTTATTGCTTTTTTTTATTTATTTTTAATAGTTTTAGTTTGATTTTTTAACTTTTTAGACATACATTTTAGATAAATTTTTAACATATTATTATTTTTATCAAATAAACATATTCAATACAAAAATTACATATAAGAAAAAATATTTTTTAATTATTGTTCATCTAAATTATTAAATTTTCCTCTAAAATTCATATTTGAAAATTTTAAAAATCAAATTACAATTACTAAAAATGAATAGAAGAAGGAATTTTTTTTTTTTTTTATTTTAAGTGCACAATGAGAGGCAACCATTTCTTATTTTTTATCTCACCCATCTTGTTTGTTATATGACTTGAACTCGAAATATTTTACTTTCAGCGGAATGAGATAACTATTGAACTATTTAGGTCATTGGTAAAAAATAATTTATTATTACGTCTATTCTTTTTAAAGTAGTTTTAGATTTTTTTTTTTAATGAAATGATGGATGTCACCCTATAGAATTCAATAAAATTACAACCAACCATAAATATAGAAAAATCCTAATCTATAATAATAATAATTTAAAGCTTTATGCCCATGCCACAAAGAGTGAAGCGAGCTACCAGCAAAGGTTGTCATGCTCAATACAACAATGAAGAACATGCAAGTGAACAAATCCATCGGTGGTCTGTTCAAGTCCTTTTCTAATGGTATTAAAATTCTATTTGATCCTAAGGACGTAGTAGTAGAAGTTAGTAAATCATGTCTAGAGGAGATGAAATGACATGTAGACTGTAGAGTATAATTAAGCTCGCCCTGAGTTTATTATCTACATGATAATCACCTAGTAACTTAACAATCTTCATCACAATTCTTATTTGTAAAACAAATATATATCTTTCATTCAATTTTAACAACATGTTATATTAATAACGAGTTAATAACAATTCGGTTTATTCATCATTTAATTATGAAAAAAATGTCAAAAGTTTCTTTGATGATGGATAAAACGAGAACCTCATCGCTTTAACAAACATATGTTAGGAGAACAATTAGGTCAACTGCTTTGACTGATCAATGACCACCGAACATGCTCATATATATTTTTTTCTCCTTATGTGAATTAAAGGCTAATATTATTAATGGGAAGGCAGGAAATTAAAAACAAAAATTGGAAATTGGAAAAGTAGAAGATCAAATACCGAATAAGAATATGTCTCAGTAAACTACTGTGACTAAATAAATGAATGTCCAAAAAATAGGGACCCTTGTGCAAATAATTAACAGAGAATTGGTTAGCCTAAATTGGAAAAAAAAAAAAATAATTCGTGGGTGTAGATATAAATTTTAAAAAACAGAGGATAGAAAAATAAAAATTTATCACTACGAAGGTATAAACTATTCTGAATAAATAAATGTTCCAAAATTAAAGAATCATGCAACTAGGAAAAAATTAATTCAGAAAATTTATAAAATCTTTAATTAGGTATAGCTGAACTGGGAACAAAGTCCTTTAAATTCAGATCAACCAAAGATTCCTGTGTAGGTTTGAAATATTTTTCATCTTTTTAACGCATGAAGAACGTCAAAGGCCAATTTTTTTACTGCTGTTTTTGCACCGGTGAGAAATCAGCAAAGGTTAAATGCTAATTTAATCTCTTAACTTAAGGGTTTTATACAGTTTTTTTCTCTTAATTTTTTTCTATATTTTTTTATCCTTAAATTATGAAAAATGCACTCTTTTAATCTTTTTGCCAGTTAGTTTGTTAAATCTATTTAAATATACATATATTTAATTCTTCAACTTATAATAATATAATATATGCACATTCTCCCCTCAACTTAAAAGTTTAAAGATTAAAAATGTATATATATAAATAAACTCAACAAATTAACTAATAAAAGGATTAAAAATTATATTTTTTGTAATTAATATATCTAAAAGGTGTATAAAAAGTTGAAAGATAAAAATTGTACAAAACTCTAAAGTTGAAAGACTAAAATTGGTAATTAACCATCAGCAAATGATGAAGAGGAAAATGTTTGCAAATACTTAATTTGGTTAAATGATTCAATTAGTCTCTTCTTGTACTTCATTAGTATGATATTTAAGTTGCCCCAAGGGGTGTTTCCAGTGTTTAAAAACTTAAATTTTAAGTTAGAAATCTTGAATTCAAAATTTTGAGATAAGTGGAGATAATTATTTTCTATTATATAGACTATTATATGATGTACTAAAAAAGAAAAAAAAAAGAAAAGATACTATTTAATTAAGCTACATTAGGCTGCACTAAACTCGCCATTCACTCCATTAGAAGGCTGCGTTGATGAATTTTTGGTAGAATTGGAATATGAAACGGTGAACAACCTTAATGAGTTCTTTAATTATTGAACTGAAAATCTGTTTGTTTAAGATTGGATTACTGTTTTGGCCCCCCAAAAAATGGGTATTCTGTTAACGCAATTTTCCTCCAATGGATCCAATCCTGTGGCCCTGGTACGAAAGAGGAATCAGTCTTCTATTATTCTTAATTTGAAGTTTCTATGGAGTCTTGTCGCTATTAGACAGTGAGAATACATATGATTTCTCAAATACTCCAAACAAGCAACTACCGAGGAGCAATAATTTTTCCAGCTATCTCATCTCGTACCTTTCTACTTTTTATTTTTTTATAACTGGGTCACTTGTAACTTATAACTACAGCATTTTCTGTACTTGAGGTTTTTGTTTTCTACAAAGACAGTTGTAAAACTAAGGAAATTCCTTTTTAAGGAACCATGAAACATAGTTATAAAATATGGGGTTTCAGAAAGAACTATACAATAAATTTTCTTATATTTATTTTTTTTTTATATTGAGTTATACAATGGAAGAAACCTCTTACCTTCATGTTCTATTATATTCCTTTAAAAAAAATTATATTAAGGAATTTAGATCGTTGACAACTTTTATACAATTTTAGGATACTCTGCACATTAGGACATGATTTCCCCTTTTTGGCAGGGAAAAGGCCTCCCCATCTCATTTCCCTTTTCTAACCGTATACATAACTTATTGTATTTTTAACCCCAATGGAATACCTCTACAGTTAAGAACTTGAAACTTTAAATTGAAAATTTTAAATTCAAATCTTGAGCCGGGTAGTAAAGGATTTGAGAATAGAAGAGAGTTATCCCTTTTTATGTAACTCATAATTAGATGTACCAAAAAATAATTGTTATATTTTTTTTTCCTTTGTAACTTTCACTTGGAGATGGAAGATGAAAAAATGAGACTCATTAGCACAACCAAAAAAAACAAATGAGACTCATTGTCTCTTGTACAATTGCCTTCCACGCGTGAATGATCCAGGAGCTGATCCATCATATTGGGACCCCAAGAGGAAATGTGAAACTTTTTCATAAAAGAGGTTCATGTATATCTCAATTAATAACATTACAAGTTGCTTAGCAAAAATACATAATAGTTTTAATTTGAAATGGGTTAGCTCCTTAGTCTGCATCTTCAACCACCGAATTACCCTTTTTACAAGGTTTTTCTATACATCTGGATCTGATAATGAATTACCCAATTGGAAGGGATAACTCTTAGTTTTTTCTAAGTATCTCCCTATCAAATGTCAATCCCAAAATGTGAAATTCAAACTCATCTTCTTAACTATTTAATTGAAATTTTTTTTTTCATAAGAGAATTATGTTTTAAAGTCTTTGTACTTTTAATATATAAACCAAACTATAAAATATTTTTTTCTTTTCTTCACAATCACAATTTATTTCCTATCTTATCCTAGTCCTTTTTTTTGTTTTCTTTTTGATAGTGTTCCTAGTCCCTTTCTCTGTCCACCCTTTGTCATCAATGATATGGGGCCATCTTGTTAAGTAATTAATTAATTAATAATAAATATAATAAAAATTGAAATAAAGAGGTTCAAATTTATGTGTTAAAAAAAATAATAATGGGATTGGGATTAAGGAAACTCAAGATGCACTTACATCTATTAATAAATATATGAAATACATCTATATATAAATATATGCAAAGAAGATCCATAGGGGTTAAAACAAAAAATAAAGCACCGCACCACCGCACCAACACACAGAGCACTTTCTTCCCCTGTTTTTCTCAAAAGCTATGGATTCCTCTCCAACTCTCTCCGGCCGCGCCCAAATGCTACAAAAACAATGCGACGCCAATATTTCACCGATGGCCAAAAACCACCCCTCTTCCTGCGGGACGCCATTCTTCTCTCCTTCCTCTTCTCTCTCCTCTTGTTCTTCCCACGGATCTTCCTATTACCGGGATGATTCTCCCCTCAGTCCTGCCACCCCACTCCGTTTCTCCGGCGTCCCATTTTCCTGGGAACATTTGCCCGGAATTCCAAAAAAACTCCAAAACCATAAGAAAAAGGAGTCAATAAAGTTGCTCCCACTACTTCCTCCTCCTGCCACCACATCCACCTCGAAAAAATACAATTCCGACGACCCCACATCCTGGAAGAAACTCTACAGTGGAGATCAAAGCTTCAGAACGGATCCATTCTTCGCCGCTTTGGTCGAATGCTCCAAGGACGACGAAGACCAAGAATCAGGCAATTTATGGACCGGTACTAAGATTTCCCGGAGCATTAGCGACAGGTTTGGTTTTATAAATCTCTACTCTTCCTGTAAAAGCACTTGTGCTGTTTCGGAATCAAAAGTATATCTTCCAAAATCGAGAAGAAAATCATCTTACCGCCTTGTTAACCACCGTTCCCGGTGAACGGAATCATGTTCACCATATTTACTTTTCCTCTGTTCCTTCTCCTCTTCTCCTACATTCCCCTGCTTCTTTTTTTTTTCCCCATTTTTGTATGTGAAGAAGAGAAGTTTGTCTCCAAGACAGAAAAATCAGTGTTATATAATATAATGAGTAGGAAGCAGTGGAGCAGAGCTGGCCCTGCTTAATTTAGTTTTATAAATGAATGATTAGCATTTGTTTTATTTATGTTATAATTTTTGCATAATACAAGTTTTGTTTTGATGTTAATTTGCTGTATTTTCATGTTATTTTTAGTGAGGAATGAGTGAAGTCTACATTACCCCATGTGAGGTTGTGAGAGCAAAAGTTGGATAGGACCACAGGGAAAAAAGGATAGATAAAATTTACCTTCTTTACAATTCTAATTTTGTTGATGGGAGTAATTAATTAATTTTTAGTTTTAGGTATTATTTTTTCAAGGTTGACCTATGTTATAATACCATGGTGCATTGGAATTGAGTTATAGAAGAAGTGGTTGTCGAGCTACCAATCTACCATGCCATGTTTTCTTTCTCCCATGTTTTTGACTGTATGTTTTGGACTTCCCATGTTTTTTACTAGAAGTTTTGGACTTCTATTGTCTTAGCTTGTAGATGTGTAGTACTAATAATGTCCCTTCCTTTAAAAACATGAGTTTTTTTATTCTATACCTTAAGTATAAAAAATAAGAGTGTATTGATTGTATTTATTATTATTATTAGTATATATAATAAAATTAAAAATTAATATTAATTTTATTAATTATCTAATAAAAAATATGTATATGTTATAGATACTAAAATTAATGCTAATTTTTTTATTTTTTATATAAATTAAGACATAAAAACTACATTTAAAACTCTCTTAAAACATAGATTAGACAAACTTAAAAAAAAAAAAAAAAAAGGTCACACAATAATATATAATCCCCTCATTTTTACTTTACATGAATAACTCATGTTAATAGTTTTCATTTATACGAATGATGTAGAAAATTGTTATGTGCACTGTGTGCTTAGGTGCCTCACTTCATAATTTTTACTAATTATAGTTTAAGATTTAGTTAGTGATGCATGTGTAAATATGTACTCATGATGCAAATTATGGTTGTGATCACAATAATTCATGCTCCTGTTGGTGCACGTTTTTCATTTAAATGAATTCAGCATTATTGGTGCACGTGATGATCTGCTAGCTAGCTTGAGTCTTGTCATGCGCTTTACTTAGCCAGAAGTGAATTGGCCAAATAATGTTTTAGTTAAAGAAATATTTTGTCTAAACTGATTTTTTTTTTTTTTTCTTTTGTCTGCTCGGATTGGATCAAATGACTAATACTACAATATTTCATTTATCATCTTTTAGAGGTTTTTAAAGGTATATATTAAGAATTTATAAAATTAAACATGTGGTAATTATTTTCAATTTAAACTAAAATTTTTTTTCATCGGTTAAACTGAAAAGTTTAATGTGTGTGTATATATATATAAGTGTGTATTTGCTTTAAAATTATTTTCGAAGCAATTCAATTGACCATCTATTGTTGTTGCATCCAATATTAAGTTATTAATGGAAGGAAATAATATTAATTGAACAGGAATCTACTCCGTTGATTTTTCTCCCTCTTCTCCCAAATATCTCCAATTCCCCAAGAGGAAAAAAATAATATGATTGAGGAATGAAAAACCAAAAATTTGTCGGTGAATATACAAAAGGCTTCAATGAATTTCAATTGTTTGGGGAAGATTCTAGCCTCAGACTTCATTTGAAAAAGCTAAGCCACAGGAAGGCTAAATTGGGATTTGGGACCCAAAATTTAATGCCTCAAATCTTTACACAGATTTAGCAGATATTTCATGGTTGAGCTCTTTAAAAAGTCGTAAGATGTATTTCCAAAATTTAAGAAAATTTTCCAAAAGGGACCCAACTTTCATGTAATTAACTTCAAAGGTGCTGTATTTGCCTTGGCTATCGTGAATGGACTACTTAATTTCATGTTTCTCTACACAATTTAAAACTTTGTTTATTAGAGACATTTTAATAATTAAGAGTTTTTGTTTTCATATTGAAGGTCTTAAGTTCATATTATGAGCAGGGGTGGAGTTAGGAAATTTAGCTAGGGGGCTGGATTTTCAAACTTCAAATAATACATTATAATTTCAAAAACTTACTTTTATATCACAAATTAAAATAATACCCGATAAGTCTTTATATCACAAAATCTATTTATAATAAAGTCTACACTAAATGCCTGAACTATTTCCTTTTTAATATAAATAATCAAACATTTTCAATATAAGTAATTTTCATGGCAGAAAATGCTCTTTTTGTTGTTGCCGTAGAAATTGAAAGAATAAGTACCAAAGTAATTAACTTATAAATGAGATTATAGACCTTCAATTCTCATGTCTTCACAAGCCATTGATATAACTCAAAAATATTTGACAAATTTTAAAAACCCTAATCACAACTTGTTTCAATCTCATAATGTTCAAACTCTGATATTAAATGAAGTTTCTCCATCTTTGAAAAATCCTAAATATAATATTTTTCTACAAACTCACAAATATGATCAATATTGAAACCTCGCAATTGCTTTTCTCTATATCCAAGGTTTTTTCTTTTACTGAATTCATATACATTCCCTTTAAAGATCTATACCTTTTTTTTTTTCCCATTTTTTTACTCCAATTCTATATGACTATTCCATATAACTTCAATATTATCATAATATTCAATTTTGTTTATAGTCTCAACAACTCTAAATCCTAAAAGGAAATTATACAATTTTTTGTGATAATAAAAAATCAATAAGTTTTATTACTTAAATATTACTCCCTCTATATTAGAATAATAAATTTTTTGTTTTATCTTCAAATTAAAGATTTGGAAACAATTTTTATTTTTACCTATTTTGTACTTAAACATAATTAAAAATAAATATTTACTTCAATCAGAATATAAATAATTAAAGTTAAAAAATAATTATATGGTTAAAGTAGAAAAAACTATTTGTCTTTTTTAAATTAAGAAAAAATGACTATTATTTTGGGACAAATTTAAATGAAAAACATCTATTATTATGAAATAAGGAGAGTATATTAATTTTTGTTGTTAGAACATACCTACTAACAAATATAAGATAAATTTTAAAATAAAATAAAATAAAACTTAAAAAACTTGAAAGTTGAAACCCAAGATTCATATAAAAAGAAATAGTATTTTATTTACCTTTTTTATAGTTGGTGATTCCTCTGCCTTCAAGCTTTCAAGTTTCACTGACAAGAGAGTAGTGCAGTAGTGCTATAGTGGCGTCGACGAATGGGACGAATGGGCAGAGTCCTTCTTTTTTTTTTTTTTTGGAGTTGTTGGGTACTTGAGGTTGAAAGAGATTGGGATTGGGACTGGGAATTGGAGAGACAGGGTAGAAGACACAAGATTTTTTTTTTTCTTAAGAGTTCTGTAGATAATTGTAAACTTTGGGATGGGTTATTTAAAGAATAATAAACAATTAAATTGTTAAAATAGATAATGGATAATATGAATTATATTTGGGTTCCTAAAATAGCCCATTATTATTGAATCTTTTTTTATTTTATGTGTTTTAACAATTAAAAATATAATATTTAAAATTTTAATAGTAATAATTAATAAATTAATTATATATTT